GGAAGCAGCTTTGTAGACACATTTTAGGCAAGGAATTTCTGCATCTTCTCTATTAGAAAGTGTGATCTGAGGTACATTGTCTGGGAAAGGGCAATTTGCACTTTTTTCCCAGTTCATTTATTTTAAGAAATAAACCATGCACTGGTGGTGGCTGAACACGCCAAGTGTGAATGCATGTATATATACAGGTCTCCCCCACTATCCGATACAACCTTTCATTAACCGAAGTGGCGTAAAGCAAAGAAGCAGTTACCTCGGGACACATCTTGCTAACGGATGCACAAAACAAATTGAGACAAAGCACAGATGCTTACAGATACAAGTCAAAGCCATGGCGGCTTGGTGCTAAGGTGCTGAGTGTAATTCCTGGGGAAGGAGCTTGGCAGGGCCACTGCCACTGCTCCAGATGCCTGCTGCCTCTATAAGGGCTCCTGCAAAAGAAACACTGAACTTTCGCTTTTCACTTTGTAAAGCAAAAATCTTCTTCAGATTTCTTTCCATCAGCAAAAACAGGTACTAATGTAGGTCTTTCATAAAAGTGAAGTTTCATAAAACAAACTTACAAAAAGTGGGGGATCCCTGTACAGTTCCAATGTACAGATGAGGTTTGGGGAACATAAGCGATAGTCGAGGCAAACTGAAATTATAAGTGGTATTTCTTTTTCAGTTAAAAAAACCTGTAAAGTTCTATGTTAAACTCTGTAATGGTTTGGAAAAGGAAACAGGGATGTGTTTGATTTTTTAAAACCTAACTAATTATATGCACATACACTTAAAGAAGAGATTTGGGGGAGCAAAGACAGAATATTCAAACAAAAACTATGTATTTATTGCTATTTCTGTGAAAAGAACGTTACAACTGAATCAACTTGGAATACAAATATGGTCGTCTTTCTTTTCTTTTTCAAATTCATTACTTGAACTTTCTTAGGTCCTGTTAGCAGAGAGCTCAGCAGTCCCTTCTTGAGGCTCTCCACCTCCCCCCCCATTTCTCAGGGACCCTGGATCCTGAAATCATACCAAAAAGAGTCAAAACACCAAGCAGAAAGAACAGGGTCACATTAACCCGTTCCTGCCCTGCCTTCCTCCTGCCTTCCCTGCCCACTACCTGAGGGAAGACATCCAGGATGCCCAGGACACAAGCTGTCCCCTTGATACAGCTTTGAGCACCATGCTTTGCTCAGTCACTATTCTCAAAGGATGCCAACGGAGCTGGGACTGCAGGCCCTTCCAGAATCAGTCCTACTGTGTGCTGAAATCACCTTCCTGATGAATCTCTACACCTCTGCATTGTACCCAGGCCGACGACCTGAGCCCTTTCCTCCCCGGGTCAGCGATCTCAACTCATCCTCGTCTTAGCCTGGTTCTGGGCCCCTTGAAGATCCCAACTTCCAGCCTGGGGAGGAGGAGTTGGCTTACATTGTCTTACAGAAAGATCCAGGTTCCCTTTGCAAGTTGCTGTGTTTCTTCCATGCCCCCTCCCTGAAAGCCCACCTTTGCATAAGTGAAGGGAAATCATTGGATTGATCCACAGAGCAAAAAGATTTTTTATTTCAACGAATACTTATTAAGTGACCAACATGTGCCAGATAGTACATTCTAGATGCTGGGCATTCCTCAATGCACCAGACAGACAAAACTCCATCCCTCCTGGAGCTTCCATTCTGGTGGGAGGAAAGACAGACAATAGACACAATAAATAAGGAAATTGTATAGTGTGTTAGATGGTGAGAAGTACTATGGGAGGGGGTAAAAAGAGGAATCAAGGGCTTCCCTGGTGGAGCAGTGGTTGAGAGTCTGCCCGCCGATGCAGGGGACGCGGG